CTTGGTGTAGCAGTAGTTTTGCTGTTTTTCGTCAGGTGTTGGCGTGATTTTTACGCCGCTGCTTGTAACTTGCGGCGATTCATTTCCTAGATCTCGGAGTATCGAGTGACAAAATCACGTTCAGATATAGATGACATCCTTTGAATGTTCNATTTCCTAGATCTCGGAGTATCGAGCGACAAAATCACGTTCAGATATAGATGACATCCTTTGAATGTTCTACAACGTTGATTCCCCTCGACGATCATCTGTGACCCTCCTCGGGCATCGTCAGCCGATGACAGGTGCCGCAATCCGGCTTGTTCTGCGGCTTGTATCTTCATTTGTTTGGTCTTGTGTGCATTAGACAGAAGATCGGAGGCACAACCTTGATGTTGCCGTGTTCCTTTGCTCCTCGCTTGCAGCCTTGTGTGCGCAAGTGCACGACACCATCACGTTCTTACGGGGATGGTCAGTAACGGGAGGAAAAAATCACTTCTTTGACGTCTGTCAATATGCCCTCGTTCGGAAAGGGTGCGCTGGAGGCATATGCTGACATCGCCTATTCCACATTGCAACGACCTGGCTGTCCTGTCTGGCTCAAGGTGTCTCCCCAACGTTCCGAACCAGGATTGCGGTCCTTCTTCGTCGGGGCACACATTTGTTTTTGCTATATGGCTTGCAGCTGAGCGTGGCCGTCCTGTGCCTGTCGTCGCGTCATGTTTGTACAACGCAGGATCCTTCTCAGGAGCAGGGCGAGTTGATTCGAAAGATCGACGACGTGGCCACAGCTGTGACGGGGGGATTCGCCGAGGTGGAAGGGGGGATCAGCAACCTGAAGGGCGAGATGAAGGGAGGGTTCGACGACACCAACACCGAGTTGCGTGGCGTGAAAAAGGAAGTGAAGGACGGGTTCAGCATGATATCGGGAAGGCTGGATAAGGTGCTGGAGAGCACCCAGGAAAGCCTCATGCGCATCAGGCACTTGCAGGCCCCGAACTACCGTTACCCTCGCCTCGTGGTCGTCAAGGAGGTTGGATCTGATGGCACTGCATCGAAGGCTCATGGGAAGAAGAGTTTGCTGAGCAAGCTGCGTCGCTTAGGGAAGAAAGATATGACACTTCACTTCTTGTGCCCGGTCGACATGACAAAGGTACCGTGCGGCTATGGTGGTGAAGGCTATCGATTTCAGGAGACGCGTGGCTGGGTAAAGAAAATATCGCCTGTCCTTCAGGTAAGACAAGGGTTTTGAAAGAGGCCGGTAGGAGTAGGTGACACTGTTGTTTCTGATGGGGTTCTACGGTGAGGTTCAACGATTCATGGTGCCCTCTTTTTTGGGGGGGAGGTTCGTCGCACTCCGAATGAGCACCTCTCCCCTTGCAAGACGGGTTTACATTTCCAAGGCGTGGTACATTGGGGCTAGGTTGCTTGGGTCATGCCTTGACATGCGAGTGATATAAGCTATATGGTGGATTCTTTGTTGTCGTTTTGTTTGTGCGCCCTCTTCCTTTAGGTGGCCGTGGTGACCGCGAAGGTGGCGCTCAACGCAACGACAGGGCTGGACGTGGACATCTCGAATTTCCTGAAGGACGTGAAAGATGGGTTGGTCAATGAGCTAGTCGACCGGACTCTCGACGAGGCGCTGCTCCGTGCTGTTTCGGGTGACGACGACATCGGGGCAGAGTTGCAAAGGGATACGAGGGCCTCGTATGAAGCGCTGAAGAAGTTCATGGACAAGGAGCAAGTTGACAGGGTTAAGAACGCCCGGGATGGTGATGGCTACATCGACTTCAGGGACGAGATGAAGCGTGTCACCGACGGGAGGGGCGGGATGGTGTGGGTTCGGAACGACAATGTTCAAAAGTGGTTGGACTCGCATTCGATTGCTGCTCCAACTCGCTAGCCGTCGGTCTTGTTTGGTGCAGCGTATGCACCTGAAACCACCCTCACCGGATTCTATCCCTTTGGCGGACGTTGTTGTACCCAAGGGGTCCAGACTACCGTTGGGTATTACCTTGAAGGGATATTTCGACTTGGGAGAACGAGCGTATCTCGTTCTGTGGTTTGTCGTTGTCGGTGCCTGTCCGTCAAGTTCACCCGAAACACCAGGGCTTGGTAGAGGGTGGTTGACCAGTATCCCGAGAATCCACGCATTCCGGTAGCTTATGTACTAGGGCGGGAGCTTTTCGCACAAAGGGGGGAGTTCTTGCAGGCTATGGTGGGCACCACGCGATGTATTACGAGAACGTTTTTCTTCCACAAGTGGTGGTGGTGCAAGCAGGAACGCTACTTGAAGGGTTTCACTGTAAGAGTAACAATCGGTAGAGCCAAGGGGGGGCACCTGCCTGCTACACCGCGTATCTGTCCATAAAGAGGGACAGTCGAGCTCAATGGTTGGAGGCCTTGAACGTGTCATTTTCGACATGCTGACCGGACGCCGCTACCTACAACCAATCACTGTGCAAATCACGAAATTTTCTACCCTACACCGTGGTCACAGAGACTTACTGTAGGTGCTAGAATACGAAGTGTAAGGGGTGACCTCCTGTCGCAATGGAGCGGCGGTGGTTGATGCCGGGAAGTCGTTTTGTTGCCCTGTGTGGAATGTTGTTTCCGTCTGTTTTTTTGTCCGCTTTCGTGTGTCACACAGAACATGGTGTTCGTTTGTTTTGTTGATTTGTTGTGCCCCCTTCCCAGAACAGGGAACAGGGAAGTCAGCATTATTTCCTGACTGTCCAACCACAATATCGTTCCTGGAAACAATATCGGCCTCCCAGGTTCCTTCTTATTGGTGATTACGCCGCACCATGTCTTTGATGAACAGCAAGGGTGGACGGAATAGGTTATCCCGCACACTTACCTGAATGAAGTAGAGCGCAGGGCCCACTTTGAGAATATTTGATGTGTTCCCTCTGTTTTTTTGTCAATTTTTATGATCGTACAGCTAGAGTACGGGCCGGAGAAACAAATTGGGCCGAGGCTCAGTTTCTTCTTTCATCGCCACTGGCGAGCACATGTTGTCATCTACATGCGGTAGAGCTTGGTACAGAACCAACACTATTGTGGAAAAAAGGGTTTTGTCCTCGACAGACATTGGGGAGTTTCAACCTTTATGAAGGTGTTCTCCACATTACCCCCCCCTTTTTCGAGGCTTCTTCTTGTTTGCTAGGCAAGAAAAGTCTTCTTGGGGTAACCGGAACCCGACCGGCTTCTTCTTGTTTGCTAGGCAAGAGAAGTCTTATTGGGGTAACCGGAACCCGACCGGCTGGCGGCGAGTAGAACCACCTTTTTTCCAACAATCTTCTGTGCGTGTGTGCGGGTGCACCACTTCCGCCACGCATTGCCAGAAGTTTCGAGTTCGATAGACAGTAGTGCATCGTTTCTTGGCCCACCCACCGATCTTCTTTTTCCGTTCTCCGGAAGAAAATTAGGTGAGCAGCGGGTTTTGAACCCGTGTCTATTGCAACCAAAAGCAGACACCTGACATCTCTTATCGACGCCATCGTGGAAAATAGGGTTTTGTCCTCGATAGACGGTGGGGAGTTTCAACCTTTATGAAGGTGTTCTCCACACTATCCACGTTTTTTTTCCTATTTTCTAGTTTTTCCAAAAGTATTGAGCCTCTGGACGATAACTTACAAAATATTTCGATGTCGACTAATTCTGAAAATTATTAAAAGAGTGTTAGACACACAAGAATTATTCCACACCAAATTGAAGTCAAGAGATCTAGAACAATAGGTACGGTCATTCCTACATTACGCATTCTACTGATATCTGATACTACAGAAGGGCACTTTGCGTGCGGAGGCCCCCACCGTGGGCGTGGCGGGGCCCGAACAAAACTTGATAAAGGCACGCAAGCTGAGAAGTACGCCCCGGCAACGAGTTGCGAGATCTGAGAAGTAGTGCGAGAAGAGATCTGGGTATGTATGTGTATGAACAGTTCGAGAAGAAAAATACGTCCAAAACAATAAAACTAGCGATAGGGTAGAAGTGAAAGTGGAGATGAAAATGACAAGCACGAGAGAGGGAGGCATAGCCTTGATTGAATTGTGGAACAAAATTCACAAGAATAGAAGGAAATTT